TTTTCTGCGCAATTATTTTTGTTTGTTTTTGCCATTTCTGTCCAAAATTTATTTTCCCCCTTTAAGTTGTTGTAGGCCAATGCACTTTGGCTACAAATCTCTTTTGCGATTGTTTATTTTTGTGGCCTGTTAGCCTTATCACAGCCGCACAAAGCCGGAAGGTGCATTGAACCCTCCGGCTAACCCAAATTACCATTCGTCCAACTAATTTCGCACAATTGAAATGTGTTTATTTTTTTTAATTTTCTTTTTTTTTGTGATTTCTCGTGGAGTTTTTCGTGTGATGTCAGCTTCCGCTTGGCGAATCATCATCAACTTTCACATTCGTTTGCGACAACATTTCGTATTCATTTATTGCTTAACTCGCATTTCGGGAATATGTTTTAGATTGTTTATTGCGATCTATTTATATATAGGTGATTGGGTCAAGAACTTTTCGAGCCATTGAAGTCCATGCTTAGAAGTAATTTCCGGGATCGTTTGGAATCTAATTAATTGCTAGAATATAATCTAATTCTTACTAGACTTACTTTTCAATTATGAATGAAAACCAATGCAAATGCATTCAATTAAAAGTTATCAACATTTTGGATAATGGGAAATGTTTTGAAAGAACAGCTTTAAAAACGATTTGCAAAATAATTTCGATTTCCATATTTCTTATTTGGTTTTCAATTCATTCAATCGAATTAATTTGCATATCACATTCCAATTTGTTTTACTCATTATAAATAGTTGCAATAAACAGTTCGATTAATTCTGTTGTATAATTCTAATTAAATTAAGTTCCGACCGGCAATTCCTTGAAACGCATTTATTCACAGCAATAACAACAACAGCAACAAACTGCGACAAAATCAAATGCGAAATGCAATTGCACAATTATGAAAAGTAAATATGCACAGTCTACAAATAAAATAACAACAACAACAACAATAATACTAATATCAACATGAACGAGAATTGAAACGCGTGCAGCCAAAGCGCCAGACAGATGGGAAAAACAGAAAGAGGGGGAAAGAGAGGGTATTACAAAAACTTGTCACAATATTTTATGAAACACAAGGAGCATGGCGAGGGTTGCCTGAAAACAAGGCACAATTCCACATTATTCAAATATTAAGATACAATTAGAAAGAGTTTATAAACGAGATACAAACTCAAAGATAGAGAAAGAGTTCATAAACGAGATACAAACTCAAAGATTAAGATAGATTTTATAAATGGGGTGCAAACTCTTGGATAAAAATGTGATTTTACAGAAATAACTTTCGAAATTGATTTGTGCTAAGCTTATTCTTACAAAGTAGCCCTCGTTAATGCGCTGAAATTACATTTTTGCATGATTCTCAATGCGGGTTGTTGCATTATGCAATGCCACGAGCACAAACAGAAGCGTAGCCAGAGTTTAGGGAAAAACAAAAACCTGAACTACGATATATTATTGGAACACGTGCCGACAATTTGCACATGTGTGTATCCGTTGGATATGGCATTAATTCATTCAGTTCTTCAGCTCCAGACGATGTCATGCCATCTGTATACATTGGGGTTTATTTTGGGTCTAGTCGCAGTCTTTAGTATCTTTCATCTGCATCTTTGTTCTGTCTGCCTGCTGCCTGCACATGTTCGCTGTGGCCAACTATTTATAGATAGATAGATGCCATGCGGAGCACGTGCAGCCTGCCTGGCAACGTTGTGGACAAATGTCACAGCCGGCCTTTGCCCCACGATTTTTTGGACAAAGCAAAAAGTAATCGTGAAAACCAGAAAGCAGAGCCAATAAATTAACTAAAAACTTGAACTAAAAACTTGATAGCGTTCGAGAGCTTCCTATATTTCAGTTAACGTAATTACCTTTAATTATGCATGCATACATATATAACTTTCTCAGTTCAAGAAAATATGGCTTGTTGAATAATGAATTTTAGCAAATAAAAAATCACGTTAATAGCACATAATAACCAACTGATATCAAGGCAACGTAAAACATGGCACAACAAAAGCAACAAATCAAAACAAAACAACAAAAACAGCCGAGTAAAATGCTAAAAATGAAAACTTTTGCGGCAACAGCTGCGGCTTATTGCATCAGCTGTTTTTTTTTTTGGGTATCCATAAGATACGCATCTCTGTTTATAAACATATGGTAATGGCACAGATATATACATATATATAGGCACACCTTATGGCCAAGAGCAGCCAGCAAATTTGTGGGACAGAACAAACACTAGAAACAAGAAAGCAAAGCAATCAAAACTAGAGCTACACACACACACACAGACACAAACACACTCACACACTCACACACACATGTAAAAATCGCAACGCTTATCAAATGGTCTAGAAAAAAAGCTGACACATTTGTTTTGCATGTGTGTGTGTGTGTGTGTGTTTTTTTTATTGTTCAAGTTCGTCTTGCCTTTAATGGGCGCACTATTAATTACAATGCAGTCACAACAACACAAGCACCTATAATAACAAACAGCAACAATAGAGTGCGACCCATTTGCTGCACGCGTACGACTCTCTTTCGTCTCTCTCTCGCTATCTTTCTCTCTCTCTCTCTCGCTCGCCCTCTTGCGAGTTGTAACTTTTGATTTCTTGATTGCTTTTGTGTCTGCGAAAGATTGACGGAACCTGTTTTCATGTTTTCTTCGATTCCAATATTTCTTCGTGTGTCTCCGTTGACATTCCCTCCAAAATGGATATAAATTTTGAACGTTTAATAAATGTTAAAATATGCTGTTGAATATTGGTATAGTATTCCATGTTAGTCTAATTTAAATTGGCTCCTTTAACGCGTCAACGAGCTGTATTAAAAAATCAAAACAAAGTGAGGGCTATTTCAAAACCCGAAGCTATTCATATCAGATGTTATATAACTGGACTCTTATTTAAAACTGCATAAATAGCTAAATGCGGTATACATATTTACATTTTCTATATAAGTCTGAGCTTTATATAAAACATAGTTTAATTTTACGAAATAGTGATAAATTAAATTACACGTGCCAAACTATTTTGTTGTGATTTAATGGGCCTACGCATCCAATTCCGCCCATAAACATAAACGAAGTGAAGCAAAGTTGAAATATGGTTTGGCACGACCCTGAAATAGTTCAAAACACTCTTAAAGCCAAACACGCAGAAACCATACACACACACACACACACACACACACACACACACACACACACACACGCGCAGAGAGAAGCATCATATGTATATGTAGAAATGCTCGCAGGCCGAACAATTGTATGTATGTATGTATATGTTGCGTGCGCATGGGCCCAAAAAGCGTCGCAAAACAAAAACAGAGCATATGAAACTAACAAAAACACGTGTTTCGAATAGCTTCAATCGAACGAATTCCCTTGAAATAATTCAAAATAAAAACAATAAGATAAGTGTAAGAGCAGCAATGGGCAAAACGAAAACATAAACAAGCGCGGCAGAGCGCTAGCCAAATTTAAAGATAGCGAGTAACGCCCAAGGAGCTCCCAACAGGAAAAATAATATATATATACGTGTGTACATATGTATCTATATAAATACAAACAACAAAGGGGCAACGCGCTGCTGTGGCTGCGACGTCGCTCTGCCCGCTGCGCTGTCACTTTTTGGGCTGCCTTTGACATTTGGCAAGAGCAAGAGCGGCAGGCACTTTCGTTGTAGGTGTGGACACACTTTTTAATTGCGTTTTATGCGAATTTCGCATGCCCGCTCGTGTGCTTGAGTTTGCTTTGACAATGGCGCATTGTTAAAATGATTGTTGTTGTCATTTTTACAAATGCGAGCCAAGCCCACATACTGAAATTAACAATAACAAATTTGCAAAAACATTCACACACATACACATACATTAGATAAACAAGAAATTGATGTGGCATTTGCTTACCTTGCGATGACGTCCTTTGTAGACCACAGCAAAGGCGCCATGGCCAAGCATATCCTTGGAGCTGTATTCATATTCCCCGACAATATTCATTGCATGCGCCGGCAGTGACGCGTTTTTGATTCTTTTTTTTTCTGCCTTATATCACAAGCTGGCTGCAGTAACAACGGGCAGCCCTCCCTTACTCACACAAACACACACACGCACAGTTGATTGGGAGTGTTGGGCGAGGGTTTACTATTCAGCTGTGCGCTGCTTTCTGCAACTACTGCAGTCGTCGTGGAAAATCAATTTTTTCGCTAACTCACTGCCGCGGCTAGCGTTTTCGTGAACTTTGCAAACGGGGCTAGTTTATTGCCAGCTGTTTTCCAACTTGCACTTGATATAAACATTTATCGACCACGCACACAAACACACACACCTGCCTTTGCTTTTTGGCTTGTAATTAAATTAAACACTGGCGTACTCCTGTGTGCTAGAACTGCTGTGTGTGCAATTTAGTTAGTTTCTGCGCACACACACTCACCCTGACACACACACACACGCACACGCACGCACAGAAGAAAAATTTGTAACTCACTCCCGGCCAATGTTTTAATTAAGCAACTAATTTCTACAAGCTTTTATTTTTTTCAATTAATCTCAATTGTGTATGTCTTTTCCACTTCGCGATTGGCAATGTTATGCTTTACAGCATTTCTTCTTCTTTGAGGAATTCTCAACATTTTCTTCTTCATACCGCAGCAAGTGTTAATGTTAACTCGCTGTTATACTCAATATATGCTGCTAACCTCCATCGGCCAGAGTTGTCACCGGCACTTAGTGTGACTGCTAAGAGTATCGCGCAAAATGATCGATGTACCGGATAATATACTTGGATTATTAGAATCGCAAATATTTGTGTTGTAAATATACATAAGTGTATTCTGCCAAGGAAGCTCATAAAAAGAACCAGACATATGAAATCGCGCCAATATATATTCCGATAATAAACTATTGATATAACTTGAGAATTGCTTCATTTATGTTATCGATAAATAAGAAGCGATATGCATACGTCTCTAAGAAGGAGCATTACCATTATTAAAATAAACAGAAGGGTACACAATAAATAGTGAAAAGTCTTATTTTGTACACAGCGTACACAAATATTAATAAAAACGCAAGGTAAATAAATTTGAAAAAAAACAGCATTGATAAATACAATCTAATGTATAATTTGAGTGCGTGTGCATTTAAAACCTCTACACATATATACATACAAATGTATGCAATTGTATACATATATAAGTATGTATGAACAGTGGTTTGATAAGAAAAACGCAACAGCATAAAGACGAATATTAAATTAGTTTTGATTGCTACTTTTACAGTATTTTTATCAACAAATTTACTGCGTTTTTGGAAAGCATGAGCGCGTCAAGTGAAGGTGGAGCAGGCGGTGCGGTGGGTGGCAGCGCTGGAGGTACAGCTACGACAACGGCGCCTGGTATGTATTTGATGCGATATCTACAATGTATACTCACATAGGTATATATAAATACATATATGTGTTGGCATTAGTGTGTATACATAACATTTTTGTGCTTTGCAACTGCACGTGTATGTGTGTGTGTGCTTGTGCCAGTGTACTTGTTAGTTCTCTTTTGTGGTCGCATACGCGCGCAGTGTTTGTTACAATTTTCTTTTCCCACACATTCGTAGCATATGGCTGTGTGTGTGTGTGTGAGTGTGTATGTTTTGTTGTTAATGTGAATCTGTCGTAGCGATGCCAGCTAGTATTTTCGTGGCGTTGCCAATTAATATAAGCTAGAAAAGTGTTGCTCCATTCCTTTTTTTATTTTCTAAAATACAGCCACATTAAAAGCCGTTAAGATACGCACTCATCCCCATCCAAATACAATGCACTTGATATCCAACACAACAAAACAAAATGCAATGGTATCACCCACACAATCGCACGTACAATTGCGTGGCGCCATAAACAGATACTCATTACCTCATTTGCCACCAGCAGCACATTCCACAGTTGCCGCCAAGATAACGCACGTGAAGGCAGACGGCGGCATTTCCATAACCGGAACGCCCATCATTAGCGGCGGCACCATTAAAGTGGCCACCGGCGGGAACACTGTGCAGACATCGCTCAGCGGCACACCCATTGCCTTGAACACTGGCCAGGCCACCACTGCTGCCTCCATACGAGCCATTGGCGCCGGCGGCCAATCGACCCAGGTGCGCGTCGTCATGCCCATGATCAAGCAGCTGGAGAATGTCACGGCCACGGGCCGAACACAAATCACAGCCATACCGGCGACACCAGCTCGCAGCGTCTCGAATGCATCCATCACGGTGACACGGCCAGTTACACAGGCCACCTATTTGCCGCGTGCCAGCGTCACGGCCACCCAGATGAGCGGCGTGGGCGTGACGGGCGCCCAACGACTTGTCACGCCGTTGCGGGCGACATCCACGGCCAGCGTCAGTCCGGCGCCCACGGGGCTCAGTAGCACGGGTAATTTTGTGCGCACCTCACAGCCCTCCACGGTCATCTCGTCGGCCAATAGTCCCGCTACGGCGGCCTGGATGCAGAGCAACACCGGGCAGGTGCAGCTCATACGTGCTATTCATCAGCCCAGGCAACGCATCATTACCACATCAGCGGGCGTGAGCAGTGCCAATGTTTCCACGACAGCCACACCTGTTCAGACGCCAACATGTGAGCAGAGAATATACTAACAGATCTTTATGGATAATAACAAATGTTGCTTCTTCCAGCTCTTACCGTTTCTGCGGCACAGCCGATGCCGCCGCAGCAATCCGGACCCACGGGCATACCTCAGGCTTATGTGGCAACCGTGCTGCCACCGCGCCAGCACCAGGCGACGCTTGTCTATTCCTCGAATGTGTCAGCTGCCGGCTCGCCCAACACGATGCCAAATCAGCAGTTCAATCCTCGCTTCGCCGTTGCCACGCCCATTGGCAGCGCTACGAGCGTCGCTGGCGGCACGGCCACAACACCGGGCGGCACCACCGTGACGCCACGTCAGGTGCGTCCCATACCGTTGGGCAAAAGCTTTCCGGCCACCAAGCTGAACACGACCAGCATTAGCATTCGAGCGCCCAGCATACCGCAGCTGAACTCCAACGTTGCTCCGCCCACGCCAGTTAGCGTCTCCGGTGGCGTCACAGTGGCAGGTCGCGGACCTGGTGGCACTGGCACAGGAACAAACGTGGCGCCCGTTGCCCTAACTGCCGCAAATTTGCCCACCACACGGATCATTCAGCTGCAGCAGCCGGCAACTGGCGGCGCCCACCAAATCATTGGCTCCACCACGCGTCTGGCTCCGAATGTCATGTTGCAGCCCTTCCTCATGAGCACCAGCGCGGCGGCCAAAATGGGTAAGTGCATCTATATATTGTATACTTAAAAAGAGACATCCATCAAATATTTTACATCTTTTAATTAAAACAATTCTTAAATTGTATATTTATATAAAACGAGTTAAATTGTCGAGTTCTCGCAAGAGATACTATAAAAGTTTGGAAATTTGTTTCATGACAGCAGCTCAATTAATCGATAGATTTCTAATCATGATTCAATAGCTTCGTGTAAACCTTGTTGAACGTAAACAGTTTGCAATTGACAGCTCATGGCAAGGTTTTATGTATGTATTTGTAAAGATACGCATAAAACTAGCTAAATATTCTCTGCAAATATATTTTATAGAAGTATGCTATGGCTGGCTCTTTTGTTATTATTTTATGCACAATATACTAAATATAACAATTTTTGTTTGGGTTTCTTTGCAGGCATTCGACCGCCGGTTACAATGACCGCCAAGGTGCAGCCTTCGCTGACCATTACGCAGTTGAATCCGATTGGCAAACTTTCGACGGCAGGCGGTGCTGGTGGGCCCACAATGGCGCCGCAAGGCGTGGCCAGCATACAGGCGGTGCCGAGTGTATCGGCCAGCGGCACGCCCAGCTCCGTGTCGGGTGGCAGTTCAGCAGCTGTGGCCGCTGCCGGCGGCGCCACGGTGCTGCCTTTGACCATTGGCGGACGTGGCGGGCCCGCCAGCAACATTTTGACGGGTACACTGACGCCCATCAAAAATGCCAGCGGCATAACTGTGGGCAAAATGATGATGACACAGTCAGCCGGTGTGGATGTGGCAACCAGCAGCGGAATGACGCCCACGGGCACAGCGACCAACGTATTCATACAGCAGCGCAGCGGCGGAGGCAGTGGCGTTAGCGTGTCAGCGACAGCGGGCACTACTGTGGCTACATCCTCGGCAGGCACATCCTTTTTGCCGCCGGGCAGCTCGGCCATCTACTATGAGTCTATGCCAGCCTCGACGGGCGTGCTCTCGCTGACCACCACGACGGTCACCCAGAGCACCCATACGCATGGCCAGAGTCATGCACAAGCGCAGGCACAGGCCCAATTGGTGAGCAGCAGTGGCGGCAGCAGCCTTTCCGTTGCCTCGCTGCCCTTTGCCAGCCATGCGCAGCAAGTGGGAACCGGCGGCGGATCCACAGCCACATTTACGGTGCTGCCATCGTCGGCAGCGGCAGGTGGCAATCGCACCATTGGACATCAGCAGCTCATCATACCGGCGGGCGCTGCGCATGCAGCTGGTGGACCACCTCAGCACATGGTCATACCATTGCACACATCCGTCAAGGTGACAACCGGCGCCGTGCCAACAACGACCGGCGGCGGCGCCACAGTAAGTGCATTACCCATGCCGGTGCCGGTGCCGGTCGCGGCAAATACACTCGTTTCGAGTTTCATGCGCAAACGCGATGCCGAAGGCTCGCCCATACGTGGTGTCAAGAATTTGGCGCCCACGCTGCTTTCCATGAGCAGCAATAGCAACGCCTCCGCATCGGTGGGTAATGTAACTGCAGTGAATCTGGCTGGTGGCTCGGCCTTTAATTTACAGCCAGTCACAGTGACGCCGGCGACGCAACCACCGACAACAACGGCGGTCAGCTCAGCCCTAACTGTTGAGGCACTGGCCAAAAAGGAACGTGAGCGTGTCAGTTCCGCCGCCGCTGCAGCGGCAGCAGCAGCTGGTGCATCCTCGGCGTCCACAGCGTCCATGTCGACAACAGCGGGTAGCATTGTAAGCACACGAAATGTGCGCGCCGAATCGCCGGCTTCTTCTGATGGTTCCACCACAGTCTCGGCGAACTCTTCGCCCGGCGTGGATCAGCAAATGCAGGACAGCAATCTGTCCATTAACCGAATTGGCGACGAACCCGCGGGAACTGCAGGGCGCGACAATGCCACACACTTTAATCCCATAAATGAGGTAAATTTTTCTTTTAATCAATTCGAGCTCACCTCGACTTAATCTTCGTATGCTTGCCAGCTGTACTCGTCTCATCAGTCATCGAATGTGTCGCATCCAACGCTGGGCGCACGTGGCAGCGGCGTTGCTAGCGCCTTTGTGGATGTACCACAGCAGCAGGCATCGCATCTGGTAACAACACAAGCAACCACACTGACGGCGAGCCAATTGCAGCAGGCGCGCATGAATGGCACCGGCGGAAGTGGCAGCAATTCCGATTACGGCTTGGCGCGCAAGAAACCGCGACGATCCACGTGAGTTGTGAATATTTTACCATATTTAAATATGTTAAACAAAAAGTTTGCTTTACATTCTCGAAACCCACAGCAACGATAGCCAGCACTCCAATCAAAGCCAGGCATCGTTATCACTGTCCCTGCCACCGCCAATGGGCAGCGTAAGCAGCCTCAGTAGCAGCACCACGCAAGAGGCAGCATCGACTTTCATGCAACAGCAGCAGCAACACAACAACGGCGGCCTGCTGGTAACGGCCGCTGGCAGCGCAGCCACCACGCCCAATGCCAGCGCTGGCGATGTGAATAATCATCGTGTGGCTGGCAGCGGTGCGCCGGCCGTGGCTGGCAACAAGGAGAACGCAAATCCTGTGGACTTTGTGCTGCGACGTCCGCGTAATTGTGCGCTGCTCAATGTGAGTTACGACAACAAATGGGCGTCTATCTAAACTGTTTCATGATTATAACACACGATTCTTGTCCATAATGCAGACATATAAGCCGACACACAAGCTGGCAAACAATCATTTCCATCGATACACGGACGTAAAGCCGCGCGATGAGCGACGCGCCACAGTCATTGATTTGGCCAATCAACCGAATGTTCAGAAGAAAATTAGCGGCTGGAAGATTCATCATTTGCGCTCGCAAATGGAGGATTTGGTAAGAGCAAACAATTCCTTTGCGAGAGTTGCTTTATACATATTTAAATTTACAGAATGATTCGGAAATGGTTAGCTTAAGCCAACTGGAAACCATGTTGAAGGTACTCGAAAAGGACAAAGACAAACTCGGCGAAATAGAGCGAATTAGCGAGCTTTTAAAGGTGAGTCTTGATCTTTATGGATATATATTTTCATAACTAACTAAAACGTCTTTTTTACAGGGCAACATACAACGTAGCAAGATCATAACCGACGGCATCAACGAGGCCCAAAATCAGTTAATGAAGATCTTTGATCACAAACCTCACGTCTCGGACATAATCAATCGTTTGCAATCGAAGCGCAATTTTAAGAAACGCGAGAAACTATAATTATGCTGAGAATGTTAAGCGAATCGAAGCTTACAACGACACGTTGCGCCTTTAGCTATATATTCATATATTGATAAGTTTGTATATTGCCTAAGATAACTATGTACGTCATTAGTTTTAAAGTAATTTAATTTTTACGCATAAAAGTTTGTAGATAAAACTTTACAAAAAAACAGAAAACTAAAGAAGAAATCACACAAAATAACTACACAATTATAATTAAGTATGTAATATTTTTTCAAGTTCTTAAGCAAAGAAATAATAGAAATTCTATTTGTGTTCTTTTATTGATAGACCACTAAAATTTTAGTTTATATGCAACCCCTGTCAACGCTTCCCGTGGAAATTTGTGAATCGCACTTACCCCATTCTGTTCTCTTTTAAATTGCAATCCTCATCCTGGTTCTGCTCATACAGATGCTTCTTTAGGTGATGTATTTGCAGGCAACCAAGACATCTGCAGGGCACATGGGATTTGCGATGACTTCCTGCATATGAAGTTTCCTATGACAGTCAACGGTTTTTAGGCAATGGCAGTGCAGGCAGATTTTTCCAGGACTCTAGTCTTGGATTCCCGCCGAGAAAGATGTTGAAAAGCTTTACAGAAAAGTATTGTTTTTATTGTTACAATTAGAAAAGATGGGTTACATAGGTGGTGGTGGCGGCACGCCATTGAACATGGGATGCATGGTTGGACGCGGCGGACCCGGCATGGGAAAACCGGCTGGCGGTCCCAAGGCGCGATGCAGATTCGGCGGCGGTGGAGGCAATATCTTTGGCTCAAATTTGAACGCAAACTGCAAGAAGAATTGCTTGGTATCTCGATTCCAGTGCGTCCAGAACTTGCCCTCCGTCTTTTCCACTTCCCGTGACGGCACCTTAAAGCCAATTGTCTCATACGGTTCGGCCGCAAAGAGCAGATACTGCCACTTGCGATCTGGCGGCTCAATCTTTTGCTCATAGGCGGACATGAAGCGATGACGCGGCACAATGCCGTCGCTTATCTCTGGATAGTCGATCTGGAAGAGCAGCGACTGCTGACCATTGGTGGGCTCGCGCTGCTTTGTTACACGGTAGCCGGGACGACCGATTTTCACAAACTTTTTGGGCTCCACGCGCGGTTTCTCCGGAGCTAGAAGCGAAGAGGGCGCATCTTTGGCCTCTTTGGCAGCACGACGGGCCAAATTCTCCTGATGCTTTTTGCCCTGCGTGTGCGCCAAGTAGCTGCCTTCGTTATTGTGGAGTGTCAGGCACAGTTTGCACTCATAGGAGCCGAGATGGTTTTTCATAAAATACGGATCCTTGTTTAGATCGATGGTTTCGAGCGCCAGCTGTCGCAGACGTTCTTTTCGCTCGCGATTTGTCTCTGACCAGGAGGCGACGCCACCGCTACCGGTTTTGCCACCGGCGCGATTCTGGAAATCCATGTTTTTTGTGAATTTAACTAGATCAACTTCTTACAAGAAAAGCAAGCGCTGTTTTTTTGCTACACAGGGTTGTCGAGCTGTATTTGACAAACAAAACTATCGATTATAGTTAATACCGATATTTACTGTAAATGATACTGAACAATTATAACCAAATCAACTAATAATATCAATGGTTGCAATTATACTTTGTTATATAAGACTTTCGATTTGGCAATAAACTGTGGCAAATAGTTTTTACGGCACTTAATCGAATGTCGATTCTTCACACAAAAATAAGTTATTCACTCGATGTATCGATAATTTCATGAATGCTGGATATTGCTGCTTTCAAGAAACGGTCACTCTGGTCAGTGTTAGGAGTTGCACATGTTTCCCATTTTTTGCATATAAAAGTTTAAATTAATTAAAAATTCGGCCAATTATTAGCACTTAATAAGTGAGAGTAATAAATTGGTAGAATCCAAGTATATAATACCTAGTTCGTGTTTCATTTGAATCTTGTATGCAGGTTGAAATGCGCTGTGAAAATAAGTTGTAATGTAAATTTGTAATTTACGACGATTCGCTGCGTAATTGGATACACCAGACTATGCTTTAATTGAAATGGAAGAAGCGGAAAAGCATTGTTTTAAAACACTAGCAATGGCCAATGCCAGGCAGAACCAACCAAAAAATAACAAGATGCCGATGTCTTCCTCGCAGCCGCCGTCGCACAATGCGGGACCATCGCCCAAACGTATTATTAATAAAATACCATTGGATTTTAACAAATTAAAGCAGGTTGGCTTGCATGTGAAACTGGCAGAGGCATTGAGTAAACAAAATATGAATGCAGCCAAAAATATTGCATCAGCAACAACTGCTTCGGCAACAACATCTGCCACCTCCGCTGCAGCAGCGCAGCCAAACGCGACAACGCCTGCAATGCATACACAAAAGCAGCAGCAACGCGAGCATCAGACTGGTAATTAACATTAACTGAATTACATTTTTTATTGTACGCAAAGAACAAAAAAGTGTATAGGGGGAGTTTTTATTTGGCTGCTTTAAATAATTATTTTGTTATGTATGTGTATTGGCAATTACACGGCAATACCGTTCTGTGGCGCTGCTGTGTAAGTTCGCGTAGTATTTTAAAGTTGTCAATCGGGGTTCGGTCCGAGTTCGTGATGGGACCCGAGCGTCAATTTTTTGTTTTTTCTGAGTAAATCCGGCTTATATAAATAGATTTCTTAACTACGATTTTTTATTATTTTCTTGCATCTAACAATGCTCAGCTCAAATTACTTTTTAGACTGCTTTATGCACCAGCAACATACCTCAGATGGTTAAATGTTAACGCAATTACACCCTTGTGTAGGGCATTATATTTTTTTTGAGCCCTAACCCTGCAAAATTCGTTCAAGTATTATAATTGACAGGGTTGTTTGGGTTATTTCTATGGCGTAGCATGATAATGTGCGTGGTAGGATGTATGAATATTGTGAGACTAGACTTGGGGGCCAGGGTTCAATTCACATAACGGATTATTTTATTTTAATAATTTTATTAACAAAAAAACATTTTTCTGGGGCAATTTATCACTTCTTGGTAATATTGTTTATATATAATAAAGTCGATTTTGAAATATATTTGTGTAAAACTTAAGTATTAATATGCATTTTTCAATCCAACTACAGCTTCAAAATCTGTCGGGAATAATAGCCCAGCAACCGCGACTGAGCCATCGTCGCATATTAAAGCGCTGATTAAAAACAAAATAATGAACAAATCCGCACAATCTCAAGTGCATCGACAGCCAACAGATACGACAACAACAGCGCCAAGCACTGAGATTAGTGGACTCCGCTCAGGAGCAGCATCTGGAGGTTTTACTATGCCCATAGCCAAAGCTGACTTGACGTTGCGTGCCAAGCCGGCGCTGTTGCTCAATCTGGTCAATCAGTTGCCCAAGCAGCGAGCAACGTGTGGAAGCATCAAACCACCACAGCAGCAAAAGAGGCAACAGGAGTCAACACCGCCAAGGTCAACACCTTCTCCGCCACGCGCCGGATCATCACCAGTACGAGCACAAGCAAAAGCACCACCACCAGCAGCAGCATCTGCACCATTGGCGAAATCTCCGCCGCCGCTGATTGTTCTGGAGAACAAGGTGTTGGCCCCCAATGAGAAGATCGATTTGAGAGCTCTGCGGCTGCCCAACGGCCAATCCGCCGCAGTGCCGCCCTCTGCGCTAACCATTGTGCCCACTACGCCCAATGAGACCAGAAATGCAGACAATTTGAAAGAGCCCATGGAAAAAGCCAAAGATATTCTGGGAAAATTACAGGGAAGCAGTGCACCGGTCAAAAAAATGATACTGAATGTCAACAAGCTGAAAGTGCCACGTGAGGAGCTTGCCCAGTTGGCCAAGGAGGTGCGTAAGCAAGCAATGCAGCATGTGCAGCAACAGAAGCAGCCAAGCATGGACATTCCAGCCATAATACCGGTGCCATCAATGGGCATTGGACCAGCTCCCAGCCTTATTACAACTCTATCACCAACCACAAGAACAAAGATTTGCAGCTCAATGATAAATCCAGTCACCTCCACCTCTACCTGCTCGGCGACACCAAAAACAACAATCCCGTCTTCATCATTGATAACTCCAATTGTAAAAACTTGCCCAAATCCGATGGTGGCATCAGCTGACGAAGCAAGCAATAACCAAGTATCCTTCACCGCAACCACATCTAGAGGAAAGCCGACATCATCATCATCATCGTCTGTGGCAGTTAAAGCAGAGCCGGAAAGCGATGAACTGTCCGCCGTGGATTTCATAGAACAGTTGACTGCCAAAAAGGATGCCGATCCCAATAACTATTTGGAGCTGTCCGCCGAGGAGCTGAGCATGAATGCCAAGTTTGGCAGCAGCCACAGTTCAAAGCCAGCTCCAGTTACTGTTGGACCCGAGGACGACCTGCCCATAGGCAAGATATTGCAAATGCAGGATATGGATATATTGCATGCCACATTAAATGTGAATGGCAACAAGCCGAATGTCTTGTGTATTAGTCCCAATGCCATCAAACTGCAAAGCAGCGCAGGCCCTGAAGAGACTGAACGTCCACTTGTCGATGATAAGGATGGAGACAGTACAAGCATATCCAAGTTCCAACCGCTAAAGGTAACAGCTCCCAAACATGTGTATACCAATACAAAGAGGAAGACTCCTTTGTCAACGGTCACAAGTTTGGTAGAAACATCAGCACCCACCCAGAATGAGACCAAGGATAAAGCGCCCGTCCGTACGGTTGAAGCGGAGTGCGCGAAGGAGAAACCCCAACCCGTGAAGCAAGTGCCTTACAAGCCCAAAAGGGGCAAAGTCAATTTGGTGCAACGCAACAAGAAAGCAAGTGCTCCGAAGCCGAATGAGACGAACATAGCTACAAAGGTTGCTGAAGAACCATTCCAGGTGTCAGACACGGAAATCTCATCCGACATTGCTGAAGTGACGAGGGAAACTCCGGCTGACGAAGAAATCGCTCCGAAAGCGGCAGGCAATAAAGAACAATCCCAGAAGGAGGTAGCCGAAAAATTGACAGAGATAAATCCAGCGAGGGAAGATCTAGATACAACCAAAAGGATTGAGAAAAAAGTGGAAGATGTGGAAAGCACAAAAGCTGATAAGATTGTGATCTCAAATAAAACAGAAAGTGTGATAACCGAAGAAGCTGCAAAAGCTGTTATGAATCCGGCTCAAATGAATCTCTCAAAGGAAAGAGACCTAACCCAGCTCTATCATCCGCCCAAGTTGCCTAAGCACAAACAGAACCCTTCAAAGCCAAAGGACAACCAGAATGAGGAGCACACTCCAGCAATTGTGTTACCTTTCGATGCCGTCAAACGGGAGCCAGCACCGCCGCAGGGTAAGCCGCAATTGCCTTTTCGAAGCAGCGAGCAAAACGATGAGAGACTAGAGCCCATGAACAGGACATTTGCAGACGCATTGGGGATTCAAAATCTGGTTAGTCAGTTGGCAGCAGAGAAAGTTGTACCGCCCAGCAAAGGGAAAGAGGTCAAGTCGGAGGAGACAGCTAAATTGCCCAGAAAAAAACTAGTGAAGACAAGACCGGTGCTAAGCATCAAGAGATCTGCGAAGGCAGCCCAATCACAGGCAACGGCAGCCGAATCCAAGAAAACTGAACCACTGGTGCCGAGAAAGAGACCGCTTACCCCGGAGAGCCAACATCGAGCAAAGACTTCCAGTACGAGTGACGACGATGGCGACATGTTTCATGGTTTCGATAATAGGGCGTCGAGCTGTAAGCGATTCAAGCACTCGGAGGAGAAAGAAACGGACATAAGTGATGATGCCTCACCTGATTATGATGAGATGGAAGAGGAGCCCCAGCCGGACATGGAAATGTCAGCCAAAAAAACAAAGACTGAATCTGTTGTTAACAACACGCAGACAGCATCAATGCATACGGATGCTGCCGCAGTGAATCTGGAAGACGCTGAACCAATGGAGCCACTCAAAGAGGATACTTTAAAGAAAACAGCGTCCAGGAGAAAGACTGCAATGCAGGAAGCGGAATCAGAGCAAACGGCAAAACGTCCTCGAACGGCCAGTGCGAAAGTAAAAGACGCAAAAAAGAAGTCGGAGTCGAAGTGGAAAGTAAAAGTAAAAGGCTCAGCGCCAGCGAATGGGGATCCTTCTGCAGAATGTGCAAAAGAAGAGAATGTTTCGAATGAAGCTACGCCCGAGGAGACTGGGATTAAGGAACCAATCATTGTCAAGAAAAAGCGAGGTCGTCCGCGAAAATCAGCCGTAATAGCTGACACCACGAATGCATCGCTTTCAGAGAGTGCGAATCCGTTGGACTCTTCCGCTGATAGCAGCATGCCACCGGTTGCTGCATCCACGCCGGACGCCAAGCGTCGCGGCCGCAAGACCAAAGATATTCCAACAGCGGACAATGAGAATATCACTGAATCCTGCCGGCAGACAAACGATTTTTACCATCGTCTGCTGCTCACACGCAGCCGTCAGCAATTGGTCAGCGGGGAGGAGCTGCGCGAGGATAACGCTGGCGAGGGCGATCTACAATGTGGCTTATGCCTTGTGCGCTGCGAGAAGGCTGACTGGCGGTCGCATCTCGGCGAGCACTATGGCGTCGGCTGGCTTATCGAAGAACCAGCTCCGGTGTGTAGTATTTTTTAATTGAATAGAATTATTTATGAACTTTACCAATTTCTTTTAGTTGCTCACGCGCAGTTCTGTATTGAAAATGATGAAAACCTATTTGGATGCGGGCAGCAAGCGTTTGAACTGTCGCCTGTGTTGTCGTAGTCTGACCTCCGCCCTGGGCATGATGTTGCATCTGGAGGGCTGTGGCATCAAGGAGCGCATGGTGTGCGAGAGTTGCAAAGGTAGCTATACCAAGCTATCCTATCCCTCTCATGTTCGCACCTGCCCCAAGCGACGGCGGACGCTAACCGAGGAGGATCAGGCAGCGCAGACAGCAGCCGAAGCAGAAATGGAAAATAGCGCACCAGTTTACAGTAATGCGGGTCGTACTAAACGCAAGTCCACGTTGAAGTAAGTTAAGCATACTTATATGATATCTGAAAAGGAGTAATCGTATGTTAAATGAATCTCTATAGGGCCGAAACAAAGCTGGAGAAGATTGCAGCGCAGACAAAAGAACTCGGTGTTGATGAAACGGAAAACTCTAAAGGTTTTGATGGAGATGCATTTGATTACGATTTGGGCCCACAAAAAGATTCATCCGACGAAGTTGAATCAGATGGTGCGGATTCCAGTCAAACAGATGGAGGTCCTGCTAGATCGTCAACCAAAAAAGAACACAAACCAGCTCAAAAGACTTGTGAGTTAGCTTAATATGCAAATTAATTAAAAGTTAGTTTATTATGAATTCCAATTCAACTTGCAGTATACGGACGTATAAATGTTAAAAAGGTGATGAAGGATCGCTGGAACCATTTGTAAGTCTTAAATCTTAGAACGTTTTGACATTTTTGACCACCTAAATTGTGGCCAGGTCCGTCTGTCGGTTTAAGACATAATATATGCACAACTTAAGGCATAATTTCCTTTTTTTTGTCGTAATCAAATTCTATATCACTTTTTGTGATTATTTTAAATACCTTTGATTAGATAGCTGTGGGCTTTTGGGAAGGTTTATTTAACACCTGAGTACAGAGTGTTTGCTGCCAGGCAAAGTTGTTGGGCAAGAATTTATTAATATTAAATTTATGTGGGCATTTTTTTGCATTTAATTTAATCTTGTAAAATTTCCATTTCCATCCGATAGCACCGAAACAAATTATGCCAAAGGCATTTTGTATCCGCATCTTGTGCCCCGCTTTGAGAAGCTTTCAGCTGCCGATGCAAGACAGTTGCTGCCTTCCAAGGATTCCACATCCATGCGCTATGCCTATGACAAGGTGGAAGATAATAACTGGATGCAGTTGAAGCCCATGGAGAGCGTCAGTAAAGAGTGTAAGTAACAAACTATATTGTTATCATTTAATCATTCAATCAATTTGATTTCCGTTGCAGATGAACATATATTGTATCTGGGCAACGCTGTTAAGGAGCTGGCTTGGGTGCCATTGCCTTCGACGGTGGAGACGCAGTATTTGTTGTGCTCGCAGCGCAACAAGATTCTCGGCTATTCCCGTCAATTCAAGGACAAACCGGAGAATGCCTTGCTATTACTGATAGAATGCAAAACGCCGCCAGCTGGCGACGATAGCGCATGGACACTGCAGACGCGACTGCATTATGGTATATGTGTGCCAGATGGACCTGTGCATAGCCTGGCATTTATGGCCAGCGGTGGCTACGATGAGTCTATTAACCGTTTAGGTCTTCTGGCCGTGGGAGGTCTGACGGGCGCGGTCATTTATGCGCTGCCCTTGCATTTGAATAACGACACCGAACAGGCTGCTAGCAAGGAAATGGATGATGTTATTGTACTGCAACCGATGCTTAAGCTTATCTTGGACATAGATAATCCTTTGCAGGATGCGTGCACTAAAATATGCTGGTCTGAGGTGAGTACTCTTCACGCTACTCAAAACAAAATATGTTAATCTAATCGATGTGTGTTATATTTATTTAATTTGTGTAATTGAAATTAAGAGCTCTGGTCATAATTTGCTTGTAAGTGGCTATGCCAGCGGTAATGTTGCCTTTTATGATATCTCCGATGAGCAGGGACTCAATTGCGTTGAGCGAAATAATCAACGACATTTTCTACCCGCACATTTCTTTTATTTCGGCGAGCGGAACATATATAGTAAGTACTTGTGAAATAGGAGTTTATCTTAACCTTACGTACTCCCCATGCTATATAAAGATTTGGAGCTGCATTATGACACGAACGGAGCACGTTGGTTAGCCATAGGCACCAATATGCGCAAACTGTGGGTCTATGACATAGCCAACTGGTCGCAGCCGTTGCCAATTTCGGGCGATACCGTATGCAATATGTTTATGGGCGGCCTCAATTGGTCTCCTTTGTGGGAGGCATTGGCCGTTGGTTGCACCGAGGTGTATAAGTCGCGTAAGTTCTTGCAAAGCTTTCCGTTCTGGCATCCAACTATATACGATACATTTCTGGTTCGATCTTTAGAATTTCCGCGCTTGCTCGCGCTCAATCCATCGGGCATTTCTTTTAGCCATTCGACGCTGGATGTGGTGTTGAGCAGCCCACGTGGAATGCATTTTAATTGGGAGCAATTGACATTGGTTGCAGTAACGGATAACGGCGATGTGGCCTTTTTACAATGTAATCAATTCAATCTGGAAATGATGCTACAAAAGCGAACCACTAACTGTCGCACTGTGTGCTCAACGGAGCCGTGCCTTCTGAGCGGTGCTCCAGAGTCAAACACCATTAGCCCGGAACAGTTTAAGCGAGACTATGGACTGATCCTGAAGCCACTCAAAAATGTGGCCAATGACAAGAAGTCAACGTACATTAACCTAAAGCGACGACCCAGCTTTGATTTGTTGAACCTAATGCGCTTGAATAGTGTACGTTGGAATTGGAATGAGCCCGCACGGAACTGGGTGGTCGTCGGTGCGGAGCACGGTTTGCTTCGCATCATTCAATTTGAGGAAGGGAAACACTTTCGTTTTTTTTAATAAACGCATTATTGAGATTTTAATTTTAACAAATAATTATGTTAATTGCTTTTTAAGAAGATTCGGCTTATGAAGTTTGACGCTCTTGAAGATTTTTTTGAATAACTTGTAATAATTTATTAATAGCTGTTATGATAATAGGCATAATAATGTATATATAAAGCTATATTTATATGTATATTTAAAATGATATCATGTAATTGCATTACTGAAAGCATGTAATATATATATATTTAAATAATGAAGTATATTTATTACATTTATAAATGCGAATATAAAAGATAAATGTTGAAACGAATGGAAAAATCAAACGTTTAATTTGGTTTGCCTTCCTCGCCTAAGGAAAGCTTCCAATTTATGGATCAAAATGGAAAAAGGAATGAACGCTTCATGCTCGACATCGCATCAGCTTTGTGAAAATAGTATTCCTTTGAAAAGTAAAACTAAGGAATCGACACACTCTGGCTATTTCAAAATTGCAATAAATACATTAAAATTTTATTATAATCCTCAAAAGAAACATCTCGAGGATAGCTATAAGTATGGATATAGGTCAACAAAACGTTTTTAAGGTTGAGCTACGCACGTTGGATGATTATCATCGACGCCTGACTCATTTGCTGGAGCGGATGGAGCGCCTGGAAGCCTCCTTGAAATCGCTACCGTTGGCCAGCCGTCTATGTAACATGGATGCCGTGCAGGAGAAGATGCTTGACGATAATGCTCAGGAAAATGAACAGCACAAGGAAAATATTGAAGATGTACAGTCGGAGATGTAATTAAACAAACGAGAAGGCCAGTTAAATGTGACGAAAAAAAGGATTCAACAGATATTTAATCTAGCTGGCAAATCGTGACTGATATGGTATTAAAAACGAGATATTTTTATTTACAGCATACATATATATATTTAATATAACTCTCACTACTCTTTATCTGCATCATATACATATGGTACTTGGTATATAAATATATATTTATATATATATTTATAATTTACATCAATATTTTCAAAATGGATGCAGATACATTAACAATGATATATAACGCCTTAACGTTTGAGCTTTGATAAGCAGCGATCGCGATTTAATATTTTTTAGTTAATTTGCGATTCGAAATGTTTGATATTAAATAATGTATATAAAAATCATATTAAAAATGAATTTAAAAACCGTTTAGTAAATAAATATGTTGGCAAAATGCGTGGCTTAAAACTAAACAGGCTAAAATGCTTACACAAACAAAAAACTGAATGTTTCGAATAACACACAGACAAACTAAATAATACATAATAAATATGCACATGCCCAGAATTACAGAATTTGTTGCATGTGCATATATATATATATATGTTTATATATGTATTTCATTATTGATATCTATTGTCTTTTCTATGACCACTCGAAGGTAGCAGTTAACACAAATTGCGATAGTTTTATGGCGTGTGGCCTAGTTTAAAGAGAGCCCTTACATATCTGCCTGTTATGCAGTTGACCTTCAGTCTTCATTCTTAGAACATTTCCATGTCTTTATCTCTTTCACTTGCTTTCTCTGTATCTGTCCTCGATTTTTGTAGCTGTGCCATTAAATTCTAACAAATTCATCAATTGGAAACGGAACTTTTCGACTTTTCACTTAACATAAATGTAAACTTAAATAAAATATAAAAAAAAATCATACAAATTAACAGAGCTCAGTTTACTTTTCGACACCATTCGCTGCCTCCACCTGGGACTTGTTTCGATTGCCCGCCAACTCCTGTTGTATCTCGTTCAGACTCTTGCCCTTCGTCTCGGGCACAGCTAAGAAGACGAAAATGACGCCAACCAGAGTAACGCCAGCGAATAGCCAGAAGGTGCCACCGTTGCCCAATCCGTCGTTCAGATTCTTAAATGTTTTCGTTACGATAAAGGCCAACACCCAGTTGGTGGTGCCCGCAATGGAGCCCGCAAATCCTTTGATATCGGTGGCAAAGAGCTCGCCCATCATCAGCCAGGGCACCGGGCCGTAGCCAATCGAGAACATAATCATGAATATGCACAAGCTGGCCACTGGCAGCCAGCCCAAATTCTCTACACTATCCTCATTCTGGTCCTTCAGATAGAAGTATACACCGATGGCGGTGGTCGAGAGCGCCATCACAATTCCCGAGGCGAGCAGCAGAATACGACGTCCGAGCCGGTCCACCACCAGTGTGGACACAAAGGTCGCCACCACCTGCATCACACCAATCAGAATTGTTGACATGCTGGCGCCGATATCAGTTTTGGCGTCCTGACACAAAATCGAAAAACACAAATTTTTGTTAACAATCCTGATAACATCTTCTTCTTCTCTTTTGGCTGCGGCCACTTACCTCAAAAATGGTCTTCGAGTAGAAAATGACAGCGTTAATGCCGCTCAATTGTTGGAAGAACATGAGCCCCAAGCTGATGCTCAATGCCTTCATTGTCACGGGACGGGCCAAAGCTGACAGGACATTCACCTTGTTCTGACGAATTTCGCGATCGGTTTCATGCAGCTCCTCCAATTCGGGTGCATAGTCGTATTCCTTGCCGCGCAGCCATTGAATTGATTTCACAGCTGCCTCTGAGCGGTTCTTGGAAACCTGTTGAATGGAATCTTAGATACTATTTTATCTATAGTTTCATTCATTTGCAGCTTACCAAATATGTGGGCGATTCCGGCATGAAGAAGAATATAACGCCAAAGATAATTGGCAAGACTCCGCACACGACACTCATCCAAAATACGTCAAGGCCAGCTCCGATGCCATATACAAACAGAATGCCGATGGTGATCATTAGCTGAAAGAAGCTGCCGAGTGTGCCACGGATATCCTTTTGGGCAATCTCCCCAGTATACATGGGTGCTGTCACGCAGAAGGCACCGCCAGCGATACCCAGAATGAAGCGTGCCACAAACATCATGACCACATTCTGTGCCCAGATCAGCAATGCCCAGCCCAAGACAAAGGGCAGCACGAGCAGCAGCATTGTCCATTTGCGTCCAATCATGTTGATGAGGAAGCCAATCGGTATGCACACACAGGCGGCACCAAGGGTCATGAACGAGCTGACCCACGAGTAGTTCTCATTGGTCACCTCAAACCCATAGAAATCTTCCTTCACGATGCTAGTCTCTGCCGGCGATGTCCAGCCAAGCAGTGTGCCGGCCGCAAAGGCGCCGCCAGCTGCTGCCAGGGCGGCAACATATTGGGGAAAGGTCTTCGACCTGTTCTCGGTGGACGTGTGCACCATTCTGCCAAGTAGATTCTCCTGATCCTGCGAACAAGACAAGACGCGTTTAGTAAAAAAAAACCTTAACGCCACGACCAACTAACTAGAACTGTTAACCAAGCGTATTATCACATAATTCGAAGCCGTGATAATGCCCTCCACCTGCGATTACGAACTTTATGGCACCACGATAGTGCGCCCAACTCTGAGACAAATGCCCCAAAACGTACAAGTTCCATGTCGAGTATTACTTATTTACAACACTCGGAAATGGACCCACAAAAAATCTACTTGGGGGCGGGATCCATTTTGTTTAAAGCTCTCGCTTATCGAGGCGGACAAGACGATTGCTTCAGGCGCTTAACTCTCGAGCATTAATGGGAATTTCTAGCCTGGTTTACGGGTTCTACTATATAATACCGATAACCACAAGTGTTGACTTCCTGCAGTGGGGATGGGGATGCATGTTCGGTGAGTTGCTCTCAACTCAATTCAATTAGTTAATGAGGATGTGCGTCATAGATAAGTTTTATAGCCGGCCTAAAAAAGTAGCGAGAAACTGGGGCATTGGAATGCCGAAAATTAGATATACGACAAACTACTTAATTAGTGCACTTTCGACCTATTAATCCAACGCCAATTATCGATTATATATGCGCATATGCATATATACGATAAGGTTGAATATTATAAGTGCAGGCAGACTAGGGCTTGGCATATTAAACTCTTGATGGGATTATATAAGAAACTTTCATCTAAAATGCTTAAGGTATACAAAAAAACTTTAAACTGAAATCTTTTGGATATTGATATTATCACAATATGAAAAACTTTAAGCTGTTTATATTAACATATAGATATATGAAGTTGTCAAAACTCATCATTTAATCTGAAATGTTTAAGGTTTACAACTTTTTGATGTGATATTATGAAAGACTTTAATCTGGAATGTTTTAGATAGTTATGTGATAATACGTAGAACTTTAATCGGGAATGTTTCAGATAGATATTGATGTGATAATATAGATAATTTGATTCTATTCAGTTAATCTCACATCAAAACTCAAATATAGAAAACTTCAATCTGAAATGTTTAAGAACTTTTTGACGTAATAATATGAAAGACTTTAATCTAAAATGTTTTAGTTAGTTATGTGAAAATACGGAAAACTTTAATCTGTTTTTATTATCAAAAATATAGTCCGTTTATTCTCACATTAAAATCGACACTATCCGTTCACAAAGAAGTAATAAAAGTGAATTGAAGTCTTGCAACAATTGAATTAACCATAATACTGCTTATAGGCCTTAAAGTAAGTAAATGGCAGTTCAATAATCTTTTGTTTAATATTGTTAACTTATTACATATGTTCACTGAAGCGGCGCCAATTAAAAATTTGGCTGCCTTGGCCATGGCCAAGCTACCTGGCAATAAACAATTCAATGATGGGGTACATATGTACTAAACACCTCACTAGTTAATGCTATCGCGTGTCTAATCAATATATCAAATACTTAGATAATCGCAAACGATTGACGCTGAAATTGTCATAATTCTGGCAATTAATCAGCGATAATTCAACAAAACTTTATTGTACACATAAGTCGGGTTAGTTAATGAAATTGTGGCCAAAAGCTTATCAGCCTGCTATCAATAACATTTAGTTAAGTAGATATAGATTAACAATAGAATACTGCCAAGCAAATTAGAGACTAAGCCCTAAGGTTTTGCATTAATACAAATTTGATCTATAATAGTTTTTATACATTTTACACAGACAGAAAATGCATTCAAGTACCTTTACATATCCTTGCTCTTGTTCTGGCTTTTCATTTTGCCATTTACCTAAACTCATTTCAAATATTATTCAAAATTAAAATATTTAGTTAAGTAGATCTAGCTGAAGAATATTAATTCCAAATAAAATAGAGACTGAATTAATAAAATATCATCTTATATAGTTCTTATACATTTTTCTCAGTGTAAGTTCACGCTTCTCACATTTTACACAGACAGAAAATGCATTCAAGTACCTTTACATATCCTTGCTCTTGTTCTGGCTTTTCATTTTGCCATTTACCTAAACTCATTTCAAATATTATTCAAAATTAAAATATTTAGTTAAGTAGATCTAGCTGAAGAATATTAATTCCAAATAAAATAGAGACTGAATTAATAAAAATATCATCTTATATAATTCTTATACATTTTTCTCAGTGTAAGTTCACGCTTCTCACATTTTACACAGACAGAAAATGCATTCAAGTATCTTTGCATATTCCTTTCTCTTGTTCTGGCTTTTCATTTTGCCATTTACTTTAACTCATTTTGCACCCACGCTCCAATCCCTGCTGCAATCCCCGACATGCTTGTATATCCAATCAAAGCCCACATCAGAGCAGCACAGAGCAGTGTTCAGTTCCGCATCTAGCAAATGCTGGCCGAGAGTTGTTGCACTATCCAACCGGTATCCGGTGACCGAGAAGTGGCGACGCCCACGCCTACTGCTGCCAAGACACACCTCCAGGCTGGCAGTAAATGTCTGCACTGAAATCGATATTCGCTGCGCTCTGGGTTGTTGTCTATGTGGCCACTGCGACTGCTTGCAAAGTGCTTAGCTATATTTAGATTAACGTTGGCAGTTAACCTGGCCAATAACTTGTTGGGCGCCCACGCAACCCAACGCGCCTGCCCGGTTGCCTCTAGACGTAGTCTTCAGCCGAGTGAGGATGTCATTGTCATCGCTGGCCAAGTCCAAGTTCGTTTCAATGTCAGTTTTGTTAGACGCTACGCATCTGCATATGTCAAATTTAAATGCGATCACAGTTCCCGTTTTCCATTAGCATAAAGAAAAACCTCGGAATGCTAAGCCACAAACTCGTTTCGCCCAAGTTCTGCCAAAGTCAGAAAGTAAAGCTGATGTCCCCCAGCTTCCGTTGTGCCCATAATAAACATTAACTTTTATATATCCAGAGTTTATGATTTATATGCCAGCTACCGTTTTTCGCCATACCTGAATATGCCCATAATAAACATTAAATTTTATATGCCAAGAC